TCCCCTCTTGGCCTGCTATTAGGCCGCACTGTTCGTTGGTTCGTAACATAAGCCTTGGATTTAGTCTTTTTAAAGCAAAAAGGTTATAATAAATCTAATTAATATATATAATATATACACACTTATTACGTAACTTAAACAAAGTAAACGTGTTGCTTTATTATATAGATAAATAGATAATTATATTTTGAGTGTCATGGTCTGGTTTAGGTAGCGCATGTGGTGAGTCCTGGAGCCCGGACATGAGTACATGTACCACCATTGAATGTCAAGCTGCCACGCTTGATATTCGACATCCTTTTGGGAGGAACAGCCGTGGCATGGTGTTGGATTAAAGGTGAGCACAGAGGGCACCTTGATAGGTAGACACCGGAACCTAGTTGTTCCGTCCCGATCCAGCCCCCTCTGGCACAAAACTGCCACGGTCGCACAAGGACACTCCAGACACACAGAATACACACACACACTTCAACTTCACGATTGGCTCAAATCTGACACATGGTGGTTATGGTGAGCGTTCCGTCACATCGAGACTTAAAATCTATCACCCTATCAAAATTAACTAGTACAATAGATCCTTTTATTAAGTATTTTTATATAATTAAAAGTAATAATTAGCACTTTCGTTCTAGTCTTTAAGCTGCCCGATAATAATATAAATAAAATACTACTTTCTATTTAATCTTTATATAATAAAGCCATTTTTAATAAAAGAAAGTCTTTAATAAGGATGGAGACCAGACAACGGTTGCACGGGCGAGCCACAGATTAAGCCAAGCAAGCCCTACTGCCCGTGGATTGAACGCTGGGTCTGAATACAAGATGGAGAATTCACGTGCTGAGCTCTTAGCCAGATAAGCTCAGCTTAGGGATGCTAAAGACATGGGTTACCCGTGCTATGGCATTGAAAAATCAGCCTAATAGTAACACAGGAAACGCAAGATAGATTCGATACGTGGTTGTAGGGTCATAACAAATCCAGCGCTGGTGGAAGATATCATTTGGTCGGCTGGGACTTATTTCTGGCCCAAATCCTCTACGTTCCTTGGATGAGCCCAAAGCGAAACCCCCAGCTAGCGCTGATCGGAATCGATCCTAAGTTCACTTTTATGCTGCTCAACGTCCCCCTTCGATCCTCCATTTAACAAATTTAGCTTGACTTTGATCCTACACGGTATATCAATTGCGTCAATCCCGGACGTGTTGGCACGATAGGATTCGAGATGATGTTGAAATGCCCATCATACCTAGGTGCATACACACATATATAGGAGTCGGGGCGGCCGACGTTGATATGTGGTCCTGCGTCACAAGCCATACACCGACCTTTGTACAACCCTGAACCAGAGCACTTAATCAACCTCCAGCCCCATCACACTACCCCAGGCCGGACCCACAGGGTAACAAAGTTCATTGGGAGTCATCATGCAACTTATCACAATCCCCATCATCATCATCGCTCTGGCAGCAACCGTTCTCGCCCTCCCGCGAGGCCCTGCCTCTGTCCCTGCCCCTCCGCAGGTGGCCGCAAGGTGTTGCACAGCAAGAAGGCCAAAAGGTTGCATATCTGCTGTATTGGTGCTGTTGTTGTTAAAGGTCTGGAGGTGGTGCGCAGCTGCAGTGGATGTGGGCAATATGCCAGCCCAAGTGGGTCACGTGACCACGCAACACAAGGAAACATCGTGCCAAACATGAAGCTTTAGACATCGCGACCACCTGCAGCGGCCGGAGCCTTGCCGACTGCGCAAAGGAGGCCGACAGCGGCAGGGGCGAGATCGCCTGGAACATCTTTGAGGACTCGGGGGACTGCAAGCCCGGGAACGAGTGGAATATATGCATGGTGGCCTATGGCACGACTTCGTACGAAGGCAGCACCTCTTCGGGCTTCGGCAACACGAATATCAACAAGCACGCCTGCGACCTCGCCACCGAGGAGTACCTGAAAAAGCAAGAGAACAAGAAGTGCAAGACACGAAGCCGGAAGACGTCATTGAGAGCACTTGATAACTTTTGTTCCTGGTAACTTGGTCGGAGGCGGCGTAGTGACGAGCTGGGCTGCGCATGAAAGGCGGGAGTTACTTTCAGCGGATTCCTGCTTCTTCCTTTCTTTTTGTACACTATTACTACTTTTACCACTACTAGTAATGATCTTATGAAGGCTATTCGCCATGAATCAGGTCTATTGAACCCCGAGCTGTGCAGCCTGCGTGAGCTTCGAGTCGATGTCCATCTTTCTCGGCAAGAAGCATATGTATACTCTAACTCGAGTATGATTATCGTTGATGCTGACCAAGATGAGGCAGGGATTGGCGCCTTTCCTCAGGATCTCCTGCTCGATAGGCAGGTTCCAGATCTCCTCCACGTCGCAATTATAATTGTCCCTGCCATCGGCCCCCTTCACGAATATTGGCCCCTTGTCGTAGTCAGGCACGTTGTTCATGTCTACGCGGCTTAGGGCCCACCTGAAGTCGTCCGGTTCCGAGCACGATTCATGTACTTCCGGAAAGTTAACGCTCAGCCACTGCATGGACCGCAATCAGCAATTTCTCGTCCGGGAGAACCTAGAGGCACTTGAGGAGCCCATACACAGGAACTTTGGATCCTGAAGAATCCCCAGGAAGGGCAGCAGGGGTAGCAAGGGAGGAAAAGAAGTGCTGCCTGATCGTACGTACCACACCCTTGGGCCATGGCTTATTCGACTGCAAGATCTGGGGCACAAGCTTCGAGGTCAGCGTGGCGTATATGTGGTATTCCCCATTGTCCCAGACTACGGCCGAGAGGGCCACAGCGGGTATCTGCCTGCGCGAGGCGAAGATGGCGTTGTTGTACGTGCCAGAGGTCAACAACTCAGATCCGGTATTAGTTCCCACGTTGATACCCGACAGGACGAGCGATGCTTGCGTGGTTCCCCATTTCTGCTTGCCGAATCTGATCAGGCCGTACCAGGCCGCCGTCACGGGGGACGAATTGACCGAGTGCAGTGCCGGGTCCTTCTTGTCGGTCCCACACTCATTGTCCCACTTTCTGTTAGATGGCACGCAAGCCACAGTGGCTGTTAGGGAGGTGGCAGTCCATCAGCAGGGCATCTAGGCCTTTTAGTGTGCTGTAGCACTCCAGCAGCAGATTCTTCACATAACAACAACAATCCATCAGAAATCACCAGAATACAACGCTTTCAACCATATGAACCTCATTCACGCTGTTTCACACTTTCCGTCGTCCCGACCCCCTGCGGTGAGAGATACAATTGGTTAGTTACGAACGCCGGACTCCCGGGGGTCGGGAACAGCGTCACTAGTTATGTAAATTCTCGTGGTTTGCAGCATACCTTTGCCAGATTGAGGCTTTTCGGGTGCCGAAAGAATACGGTTGATCTTGCGTCCGCCTATCTTGAGACTCCTCAAGGCGTCGTAGACAGTCGTCAGCAATGGTTTTCTCCAGCCGTCGTCATTTGTCAGCAAGACTCTGAGGTCCCCATTTTCAGCAAGGGCGGTTGGGACCGCGCCCGCCAGGGCCACAATTGCCAATGTGAGGCGGGACTTCATGGCGAACTGAGCGGAACTGGCGTCTCCGATAGCGCTATCTCGTTGGAAATGCAGGTCACAGGTGGGATCGAGTGATGGCAACGATGTAGTGATGGTTCGCGGGCAGAGAGAGGAAGTCTGATATACTGGAACCGGAATAATGATGACAACATACTCTTTCAGTAGTGATATTGCGAACTGTGATTAAAACTAGTAAAAAATGAGGCACGCCTTTTATAATTATATCCGTGGACCATGGTTTGGTAGCGGTATGGCTAGTGGCAAACACGTTGAAGCCTTGTTAATACTCCTGGTAGGGTTATAAGCTCTTGCGAACACACAGTTACTTTAATAATCTAGTATGTTTGCCGCCGCGGCGCCGCAAGATTTTAGTAGTGGCCATGCTTACCATTGACTTTGAGGCCTCTCAGATTGAAAGACGGTAAGTTGGAAAATAGATTGGGTCTAGCGAATGAATGGCGAGAAGGAAGCGGCCCGGCACGGACTCATGCGGTCCAGTGGATGGATGGGAAATTAACCGTAGGTATTATTTTTAGATTTTAACTGGGGTTGGGACCAGTGCGATTGAAATAGTAACACCCCATTATGGGAAGCGGCACAGATTTTTGCGGCGTATGTCAAGTCTTGGGACTGTTCATCATGTTATGATGTCACCCTAACACGAAGTTGTTGTATGCTGAAGAGCGTGTTGTAGAGCAAGAAAGGGGCTAAGACCTAACCTTAGGAAGAAGCAAGGCCTGCGGCGCGAACCCTGACTTCCTGCGTTACTAGCTATGGACATTTAAGACGAGGGGGTTACATTACCTCACAAACCACCTTCTCCATTGCTCAACGGTCGAGCTTTTCCTATCGCGTAAGGTGTCGGTCGTCCCGAAGGGTTCTATTATGCTCGCGCTCGTGACAGTCCACCGTCGTAGGTGCTATTTTTAGCTCCCATGGTGGGCACTGTGGGCCAGCTTCCCCTTCCTGCTCGGTCACCCACGTGGCCCTTCCAAAAACAAATCGCAATGTCTGCATTTATTACCGAGCAGATTCGGTTTTAAATGAGCAGGAACACTTCGCTCAACGTCGACATTGACATCTTTGGTGTTGCTCGGAAGTCGGGGACGCACTGGCCGATAGTGTGACGTACCCAGACGAGCGACAACTAACACTTCAAGGAATAACATCGAAATTCACGCCACAAAGGAGTCCCAGTTTCTACCAAAAGAGGTTATAAATGCTGCCGCATTCCGTGTCGCTGATGTGGCCTCCGCTCACGACAGACCATCGGCCGAGTCTTCTCTGTTCCGGGTCTTGTCCTGCTTGAGAGACGGCGTCTTCCGAACAGGCACAAATCCCTATACTACCCACCCGCATTCGAGACAGTTCATCTTCCCAGAGAATATTTAAGACAACTTCATTTCACATCTGACCCGCCTCATGCCTCAATCGTCATCATGGACTGTAAGCACCATGGTGTTAGCCGCGCTATTCGTATCGCAAGCCATCGCGAGCGCCATAGTCTTTCCCAGTACAGGACCGTCTCCCAGGCTATCCAAGAGGGACTTCCGAATCAAGGAGGACAGGTTAAGCTCAGTCAGCGGCCCTTGGCCAGACGGCAGGATCGTCTGGTGCTTCGAATCCCACGGCGACGCCGACAGTGAAGACACCTTCAAACAAGTCGTCCAGATCGCTGACGACGCCTGGAACTATATCTGGAAGGAAGCTCTCAAAGGCAAATCCAGCCTCCAGTGGCTGGCCGCCGACGAAAAGAAGCCGGATTGCAACGACCTGGACAAGCACGGAGACATGCTGCACATCGAATTCAATGATCTGCACTTCGCCGACTCGCCGGTAGGCTGGCAAGGCTACGGCTATGGTGCCAACCTGGTGAACTTCGACCCCAGCCCCGACTACGGCGCAAAAGATGCCGTGGTCAACTTTGCGCACGAGATGGGTCACGTGTTCGGTCTCCTGCACCCGCACCAGCGGCCGGACGCCTGGGAAGAACCGGCCGTACTAAAGCTCAAATGCGAGAATCTCCACGACTACGAAGAGATGGAGACATTGGGACACAGGATGGACGAGCTCTGCAAGTCGGAAAAAAGTGCACGCGACGCTGGCTTTTCGGCTGCAGATTTCCTCGGGCTTGCTCGTCTTAAGGGCACCGTGGTCCAGAACGGCGAGCTCGACTGGGATTCCATCATGATGTACGACTCGGCCGCTGGTGCTAAGAAAGGCACCAAGGCGCTGGTTAAGAATGATAGGAGCGAGACGGAGCTCCCGATCATTAAGACTGCTTCCGAAGGGGACGTGTCCTCCGTTGGCAAGCTCTACCCGGTCAAGGATGGGCATGGGGAAAGCGAGACGTCGGATAGCGACTGAGGGGACGTTGAATGATGATGATGATGAAGATGACGGCGGCAAGAAGCAAGTGACGATTGATTGATTGATTGATTGATTGTATTTAACGTGGGGGATCGCTCCTCAGTAGTGCAAACCACGCCTCCCAGAGCCTCTGCATCGCAGGGTTGTGGAGGTATCAAGATAATAAGTACAGTCAGTCCCGCTCACGAGCCCATCCCTGCTGTTGCGGCTGTATGACTTTGGGGTCATCTATCTGGTCCTTCAAGAACAGCTATCTATCAGGGACAGATTAATAAAAAGAACTTGCTCTTCTTAACAAATCTTGCCCATTCCGTGCTCCTCTCCCCCAAGTATTGTAAACAGGCTGCCCTAGGCGAGTACCTGGGCAGCAGTCGGTTTTTCCCAAGCCTCTTACAAAAGAAAATATGTTGTGGTGTTTTCTTCTCACCGCAGCTGCAGTGGTCATTCGAGTCTGTATGCCCAAAACGTTCGTGATTGAACGCGTGTAAGAGATGGCTGGAGGAGCCCAGTATCTGGACCATCGAGTGGCCGCCTCACTCGCCCGATTTGAACCCGATTGAGCACGTTTAAAACGCTCTAAAGCGTAAGATATACGAAATAGATCGTCAATTTCACGATCTAAAGGACATATCTAAGCAACGAGGCATATACGAAAGAGATAATTGAGCGCGCGTGGACAGAGATCGATAAGCGCTTAATTGAAAGGCTGATAAAGTCGATCCCGCGCAGGCTCGCAGCAGTGCGTCGCACAAGGGGTTAATACACCAAGTATTAAAGAGCGAAAATCAATAATTATTTTGATCTAATTCACGTTCTAGATGGCCTCATATTTGATTTATTAGGAATTATTAAAGATGAGGGTGGTGATGGGTGGATTGGTGGGGGATCGGCGGTGTACGCATAATATTGTCCACATAGTGTACCTACCCTAGTCACCCGGGCCAGGGGGCTGTGAGTTACATCCCTAGCTATATTCCCTGCGGAACTAACTTCACTCGTTCCTTCTGCTTTCCGTTGTTCTTCGTTTGGTACCCATATGTTATCTGCCACTGACCGTGTTGGCACTATCATCAAAACACCCTCTTTGTGCACATTTCGCACTACACAGATGTGCCTACATCCCTTGCTACATGCAGTTACGATTGACAACAAGTCATATACCTCGAAACTTCATTTCTAGGCTGCCACAGCAGCGCGTCCTCCAACCGCGTGGCGAACGTTGAATTGGGGACCCTGGACTCAATCGAGTCCTGCGGCCAAGTCGCATTGTCCCGTGTTTTCCCAGGTGCCCAAAAGCGGTCCCGTTCAAAGTGACATGTCTACAGTTGGAGTACTTCCAGGAAAACACGTCTTCTAAACCACAGCCGTCGTAGTACATAGCCACGGCGCCCCAGACGTAGTGACTATGGTGATACCTGACGTTGGACGTCAACAAGTACTCAAGCGGGTTTGTAATCGCGTTGAGCTCCGTCCTGATGCGATACAAATGATGGAGTCCCCTTCACCTCGTCGGAGGCGCAGATCAGCTTTCCGGGCCAACAGTTCAAAAACACCCTCTGCGAATGTGGTGTCCTTGTGTTCAACTGTGCTGTACAATGCACCGACGTTACTGGCTTATGACCAACTCCTGGACGTCTCACAGGAGCTCGGCGCCGGTAACGGGTCACCTGGTCGGGTCCAGAGTACGGTACATGCCATCGAAAAACCCTTCACGAAAAAGCAAAAAGGAAGTTGTATGCATTAGCCGCGAATCGAACGCGGGGCCTGCCGAAGGTGCAATGCATGGCAACGGCAGATTTTACCACTAAACCACTAATGCTTGTGATGTCACGTGCTTGCTGATAGAGAATCTGCCCATTATTAGTTCTTGGGACCTGCGTCATTTTCTGCAGGTAGCGCCCCACTTGCCAAACCACCGACGGAAGAATGAGACAGGTATAAGCTCCTACCGGACAGTTTGCTTGACCAAGGTCCCGAACAACTCAACGGATATCCACGGTGGATTGATATGGACGTAGATATCTACACCAACTCAATCCACGAGGACCTCTATAGCCTTAGCAACTAACTTAACGACGAGGCTTTCGTGGATTGATATGGATTACTATACGTTAATATCGAGATTTTAATTTTTGACCATATAAAAAAATATTTTTATAGTAGGTCTAGCCGGGGTATCCCGGTAGACCGGGATTTTCCTACCGAAATTAATACGGGTCCGGCCGGAAATACGATAGTTTCCGGGGCTATATTAACCCATGAGAATGTCAATCTCCGGAGACAGAACCCCTCGTTAATACACGCATATCAATTGAGCAACGACCAGGTCGTAAATACTGTTAACTCAACTCCACGAAGGGGTCCCGTTGACGTAGATTGAGTTGGTCGGGACCTTGGCCTGCCTTGAGGCAATGACATGATTGGTGCCACGGAGCAAGATTTGTCGCTCGTAACGCTCGTTGAGGCAGTACTATACCCCACCCACCACTCGGACTGCAAAATCTACTGCCACACACCAAAACATCAACAACTTCACTTATACCGAATCCAGCTGTTTTTGAAGGGATTCGCGATGTAATTAGTTCGCTGAATAGCTCTTTTCTTGAGGTTTACCCCAATGTAGATCCTTTTAGCCAGACCCGGCGATGAGGGGTTCCCCGCCCGTGGTTTCTACCCCTCATAAGGGCAAATTTGCCCTTTATGCAACTGTTCTCTTCTTTTATATGCAACGTAGCATTGTGACTCTCAAAATGTCTTCTTATACGGAGGATACTATGGCAGATGCCATACTAGATATCACCGATAACAAGCTGTCAGTCCGAAAATCCGCTCAGAAATGGGGTATCCCTAAACAGACGCTGTCTGACCGCCTCAACGGCAAACCTTCAAAGGGAGAGACGCAGCAGCCAAAAAGAAGACTATCCGATGAGCATGAAACATATCTAGCCCAGTGGATACTTCGTCAGGAGTCTCTGGGGCTCGCCCCATCGCATAGCGCCGTCAAGGCAATCATTTAGGCTACCACTAAGTTAAACGGTATCACTGAGACAGTTGGGAAGAACTGGATAGATGGATTTCTTCGCCATAACCCCTAAATAAAGACAAAAATTGGCCGCAGACAGGAAGCCGCTTGATTTAAGGGCTTTATGCCGAAGTTTGTTAACTAGTACTTCGATCATCGCGAGGATTTCGATTGGGTAAAGCACTAAAACACATACAACATAGATGAGGGCGGTATTATGGCGGGTTTTGTTACGGGAAAGCCCATGAATAATCCCTGAATAATCCCCTGTTAACTTTATGCATTAATTAACCTATTTAGGGCTTGATAGTCTTGTTTTGGGCAGCACGGAGACAAAAAAGACCTTCTTAAAGAGCGACCAAGGCCGCAGCTGGACCTCCTTCATTGAGGCCATCTCCGCTACGGGCAAGGCCCTTACGCCAGGCATTATATTTAAAGGAAAAGATCTCCAGGCCCAGTGGTTCCTTCGGGAGTTCAGAGAGATTGTCCTCTGGCATTATATATGCACTGATAATGGCTGGACGGATAACGCAGTTGCCATGGAGTGGTTGGAAAGTGTTTTCCTCCCTCAAGCCAACCAGGTACGAGAAGATGATAATTCTGAAGCGGTACTCTTGATCCTTAATGGGCATAAGAGCCATACCTCTGTACGTATTAACACCTTTATTTTTCTCTATTTTATTTCGCTTGAAATCCATAGATGTATAGCTAACTATTTAGCGGTAGGATGAATTCATAACTACGTGCTTCTTGAATAACGTTCAGCTTTGTTTTCTTCCAGCACATACCTCCCATAGGCTTCAATCACTTGATAACGGCCCCTTTAATGCCATGAAAGCTGCTTACTGCAAGCATATCGCTCAGTTAGTTACTCTAACTGATGCTGCCCCTGTAGACAAGATCAACTTCATCAGATGCTACTCCAAGGCGAGGAACGACGGCTTGACGGTCAAAAATTGTCAGGCTGGCTTTAGAACTACTGGTAATTGGCCTATTAACCGCAGAAAGGCTTTATCACATCCAGAAATCCAACAGGATAAGGCCGCAACCCCTGAGCCTGAACAGGTCGAAAGTTCAGAACCTGAAGACTTCCAGACGCCTGAAAATAGCCGCCAAATCATGGATATGGGCAAAAACAAGTCTCAAACCACTCGGCTGAAGTTACGCAAGGTTGCAAAAGCCTTTGAGAAGCAATCAGGAGAGATGGTGCTAAAGGACCAGAAGATCGAGAGCCTGGAGGCCGAACTAGACCGCATGCGCCCTAAAAAGCGCAGAAAGATCCCCAACCCGAATAAACGCTTCAAAAATATCCCGGTGTCATGGAACGATCTGGAATAGTTTGGAAGCACGCGTAGAACATCGTGGAACGAGATGGAATCTCTGTCCGAGATTCTATATAGTTGGCTCGTGAAACGTCTCTTTGCTTGTTTCCTCTTTTTTCTCTTCGTCTCTCGTCTTGTACTCTACCACTAGTACATAGGATAGCAATATCAGTGTCAATCTACCCACTGGCCAATCTTTGTTCGTCTAAGCCTTGACACCCAGATATTCTGGCAGCTAGTGAGGAACAGCCTCAGAGAGGCCGCAGGGCCGCGCAGCCTGTGGTTGTTGAAGATACCACTGATGAGGAGAAAGAGGATGAAAGCTCTGATTCAGAAGAAGAGGAGGAGATTATGGCCGCTAGGGAGACCCGTTCGGGCCGACAGAGTCGCCGGCCGGCTAGATACGATAACTAAACCGCCATAGACGAATAGATTGTACGTTTTCGCAGCCGAAGATACCATGAATTGACTGATTTCGCTGTAAGTGAAGTTGTTGATGTTTTGGTGTGTGGCAGTAGATTTTGCAGTCCGAGTGGTGGGGGTGGCCGAGTGGTGGGTGGGGCATGGTAGTTGTGTTGCATGAAAAAAGCAGACCCTGAGAGAATGTAGGCAGGAAGACCCTCGACTTTGAACTGTACAGCAGAGCACGGAGAGCCACCTCGAGTACCTCAGCCTTCTTACTAATACACGAACCAAGAGCATGATGCTCATCACTACCACACACACCCCTGTGGGCAGTTTCTCCTACATCGATTTCAGAACCGTGTCGATAAAGCAGTCTGGTTCTAGGGGGGCGGCAGGGTCGGGACGTCGTCAACGCCGCACTTGGCCTTGACGGAGTACTCTGTCAAGTAGATCATCGTCAGTACAGACATCACACGCAGAATAGGTCTTCTCGAGACTGGTACGTACCGAGTGCGAGCCCTGCGTGATTCTCCGCATTGCGGTATAGCGGGATCCAGTCGTTCTCAGGGTCAATGGGATCTGCCGTCCGCAACCGCCTCGCCGAGACTGACGAGCTGCCCTGCCAGTCCGTTGTGCCGTGGAAATCGAACTCGGGGAGGTGTTCTGATGCTGGTTCGTGCATTGTACCCCACTCCATGATGAGACCGAACGAGTCCAGGTGCGAGAGCTCGTGCATCAATGTGTGAACTGAGTGATCGAAGTCAGTCTACGCCTTCTCTCATAGAACATATTGTTTTGAGTGAAAGTTTGGCTTACCCCCCGTTTCCCACTCGGTGTAGTATTGTCCTCCCTGGCAATATTCCTCGACTTCCTCGTCTGTGCTGGGCAGCCGGGGCTGCTCCCATAACCCGGGACAGATGACCATGTGTCGGGGGCCGGGCTGGACACGCCCAGGGACGTTCAGGTCCTCGGGCGTCGGGTCAGCGAGAGCGAACACATCCGTCCTATGTGCGAGAGTCGTTAGTACAATATAGACAGCACAGGAGCAGTTGGTCCCCTATATCTGAGCAGCTCGGAGCGAGCTCTAGTCCTTACGGATCGTCCGGGTCTTTGGGGTCCCCCGTGCACTCAGCGTAAGGCGGCAGTGCGCATCTTATCTTGAAGCTGGGCCTGTTGATTGCGTCGTCGCCGATCGCCGCCTGGAAGACTTCGAATGCCTTCGAGACGGTGCCGCGGTCATCTTCCGTGAAATAATGGTTGTACCTGAGGTCGAGGTTAGTCCGGACTGCTAGTGTGCTGAATAGGTCTTGTATGCTCACGCATTGGCATTGGCATCGAACTGCTCATCGTCATTCACAAATTCGTACGGCCCTTTGGCATATTCGGCAATGTCGTTGAGGTGAATCTGGATGCGTGATATGCCTCCCTTATATATCCAAAATTCTGCACTCTTGCGTGCAAGGTCTCTCCCATCATGCTACCCCTATGATGTATGCCCAGGCTGGGGGTTTTCCAGATTAGTCCTTCATTGTCAGCCGGGCGTCATCTATCAACCAACATCTCAAGGACGATCCCAGCCTGTCTCACATTGAGTACTCAAGATGGGTTCGGGTCTGAACCCGGTCCCGACCACCCTCCACTAGCACCCAACGCTGTTCTGCCCCTACAATGGCGGCGTGAAAGCTATATGTGGTCTCCTCATCCTTCCAGGCGCCGTTAGTCCCTTTCTGCTTAATTTCGCAAAACGTCACTATCCGAAAAGCCCTCCGAACAGTTGTTATATGCAAGAAGTAAAGGCGCAGCCAGTGCTATTTCAAGCGTGTGGTGATCCTCACTGGATTTGGTCGGATGCCGAGGTGCGGCCCGATCCTACGGCTCCCGTGCGACGTACTAATCCCGATGTCGGTTCATGAGTGTTGGTTGGTGGCCGGCCCAAAGTCAGCCCCAAGTGACCAGTTGGACAAGATCGGCATGTCCCCAATTGTGGTGTCACGCCGCTTAAAGGTTCCAGCAACTGGACCGTTCAAATAGGCTCAATCCTGCATCCTTCGCCGTCTTGAGTGTAGCTGAATTGCAGAACAACACACAGACTAAAGTTAGAATCCGCGCACTGATGACCATGGCCGAGTTGTTGAGCCAACACAAGATCTACCATGAGGGGGCCTTTCACCCACCACAGGGTACCTTGGACAAGAAGAACTGGTTAGTCATGACCTACGCGCCACCAGCAGCTGAGGATGCCGACAGGGTATACTGACTGTAGAATGTGCGCGTTCAGGACCGACCTTCAAGTGGTCCTGCGCTGTTCCATCAGGAACGTCACACCAACCAAGCTTTCGCTCTCGGAGGGCAAGGCTGCGGACCCAGCCGCCGCTGCGTTAACTTTCGAGCTCAACGTCCAACAAAGTTGGTCGCGCTCGCCGCAGCCACTCACGCTCTGCACGAGTCTCACGATCCTCACCAATCGCGGCCGGGGAGGACAATACATGAATTGGCAGGGCGAAGGACCAACAAAGATCCTTCCACACACATTTGGGAATGCTAGGTTCACGAGATGTGGCAGGCGTGAGAGGCAGAATCACTCCTACGTGACGGTGCCTCCCGGCGACGAAGGGTTGACTTTCCAAAAGGGCATCTCATGGGGGTCGCTGCTGCGTCCGTACGGCAGACCTCTCCCAGAGAATGTCGAACCTGTAATCGGAGACCGGTATGATCTGGTTTTCGCCAAGAATGAGCGTCGTGAGCCGTTCACGCAGTGGTGGAACTTTGGGGACCTAGAGAGCGATCTGAAGGACAAGAAGTTGGTGCACTACATGCCTCGTCCGGATCCGGCTCCGGTGTCAAGCGGCGAGGAAGACGAGAGCCCCCAGTTTTCACCCGACTCCGTAGTGTTGCCGTTCAAAGCATGGGAGGACTATCGTGACGAGGACCGCGACACTTTTGTCCGGTTGGCGGTTCATTTTGATACTACTCCTGTGGAAATAGTGTTCGTGGAGTAAGGGGGGCGTATGTGTCTGCATATCCACGCGCAACATCTTTAATTTGTTGTTTGGGCTCGCACGAGCATTGTGATATCAATTGTATTTCAACTGAGAGTGGTGACGGCTTACTATTCACGATATCACCCTACTCGGTTGGGTCACGGCAAGTATCCTGACAGCCTCAGATATTGTTCAATCCCATGGTCCCTGATCAGATAGTCCGAAGGCAGTATCCAATCCAGGAAGATACCATATTTCCAAAGGTACAGGCTGCTGCCGATTTGTGATTCATGACTGGGAAGCCAGCCCAATTGTATATATGAGGCTTACGCCTGTAGCAATTCCACGTCCCGTGGTCGGGCTCACGATGGGAATGAGCGCAGAAGACGAAGCCGCCAGTTGTCTGATCAAGGACCATCCAGCACCACCCGGGATGTGGCTGGCACTACCGGGGGTCTTCGCCCCATCTTCATACAGATTCACCAATCAGTCCTTGCGCAAGCTGCAGTACATTTTGTTCAGGCAGTTTTTGCCTGTGCCGTAAGTACCAGCGCTAATCAAGAAGACCAGCAAATTGGGAGGTAAATACCCTTATAATTGTTAGCCGTGAGCCGCTGTGGGGCATATAGGGACTACAAGGAGTAGGAGTACCCAATGAGCCCAGGTGGGGCTGGATGGCAGTTTGTTTGTTTGTTTTGTATTTAACGTGGGGGATTGGTCCTCAGTAGTGCAAACCACGCCTCCCAGAGCCTCTGCATCGCAGGGTTGTGGAGGTATCAAGATAATAAGTACAGTCAGTCCCGCGGCTGGATGGCAGTTGATCAGATAATAACGCAAGCATTTAAGATGTTCCCCTTTTCTCCCAATGTGTCCGTAATGAACCCGAACGAGCACACCCCCCTTTAATTACGCTACAGGTCACGCTATCTCGGGCCGTAGGTTCCGCTTAAAGACATGAAACATATAGGTGTCCAGGATGGTAATGTAGAACTTTACGCGTCAGGAACTTTCTCACATCATATTGGATTCAGACCCATACAGGTAGCAAGGATGGTAATGGTTAGCGGTTCTAGGGTTTGGTCGTCACTCCGATATAACTAACCCCTTCGCTTACTTTACCGGAGGTCAGAAGTAAACATAGGATAATAATACTCCCTTCATTAGTTTTAAAATATAATTCTTTAGTACCATGCGTTAAAGGATTATATAGTACATATACGGAACACCTTTTCACGTATATTTTAGTATAATTTATACTAAAAATTTTAGTATTGTAGCATTTAATAGTAATATCAATGATTCTCAGTTTATATAAGATCTAGGAAAGAATCAACTAAGTAATAAACAAACATTTATTAAAAATGTTCGCGTAAAAACTAATAAAAGTCATCTTAAGACTAAATATAATAAAAAGCATTTTATTTTATTTTATTCAAATTTAAATATAAATTTGTTAATTTCTTACTTCATATTTTATAATTTAAACCTAATACTATTAGAATAAAGCCCACTGAAATTACAAAATTTATAGTATCTAATTTACATAATATAAACCCAGATAAAATAAGGTAAAAATTATTAATTAAAAATATTCTATAATTTATGTAATTATTTAAATTTATGGTAACCATAAATTTGAATAATTAAGGTATTATAAATAATAACATTCTAATTATAATACTTAATAAATTTATATGAGTAATACTCTATATTTGTATTATTAAGTATAAAAACTATAACATAATATATTTATTAATGACATAGCTCATTTTTGTATTCCACCTATACTAGTAAAGGCTACAATTAAACAACCACTACTAAAGCATAATGTATTATTATAAGGTATTTTTGTTGAATCAATATTTAATTAGATTGTAATATTACTTTATTTTTATGTAAAGGCATAGGTGTTTTAAATAAAAAATTATGGGATTTAAATTTAATATTCTTCATTAAGATCCTCAGTAATACACAGATACATATAAAAAAGTCATACCACATCAACAAAGTGTCAGTATAAAATTCCACCCTCAAAACCCAAATGATGATTGTCTGTTAGATGGTATGCAAATATTCTTCATAAAGCTACCGCTAAAAAAGCAGTTCCTACCATTACGTGTAATCTATAAAACCCTGTTGCAAAAAAAAAACATGTACCAAAAGCACCATCACTAATAGTGAAAGATGATACACTATATTCTATTCCTTGAAAACCAGTAAAAATAACCGCCAATATTATAGTAGCAATAGAAACATATAAAGTTCCACTTCTTTTACCTTGAATTAAAGAATAATGAGCATATGTAACTGTTGCACCATTTGATAATAATAGTACTGTATTAAGTAAAGGTAATTCAAAAGGATTAACAGGTTTAATACCTATAGGAGGTCATTGAGCCCCTAATTCCACAGTAGGAGTTAAAGCACTATGAAAGAATGCTCAAAATATAGCCATGAAGAATAAAGCTTCAGAAACTATAAATAAAATAACCCCTAAATTTAGTCCTTTTTGTACAGCTAAAGTATGATTACCTAAAAAAGTTCCCTCGCTAACTATATCACGAAATCAAAAGGACATAGCAAAAACTAGCATTATAAGAGCTAAAAATATATATATTATATGCATTACTAAAACTATGCATAGATAATGCTCCACTAGTAGCTAAACTAAACAAACTAATACTTGTATATAATGGTCAAGGTAAAGGAGACACTAAATGAAAAGGATGATTTTGAAAATTACTTCTTACTATTTCAGTCATTTACCTTTCTTAATTAATAAGTTAAAAACATACAAAGTATATAGTTATTAAATAAATTGTATTATTTAATAATTTATTAACAAATAAAATCCCATATTTTATACTCTTTAAGAAATAGGTGACTTGAACACCCAACCTTCTGTGTGTAAAACGGTTGCTCTACCATTCAGCTAATTTCTTTTATATTTAATTTCTTTGTTTTATTGTTATAATTATCGCACCAACCATAGCTAATAATAGTATAAAACTAGCCAATATTAACCACATATTATAATTAGTATACATAATATTCCCTATACTAGTTATATGACTATTTTCTATTAAATTATCATCTCATATTTTACTGGTTACAAAATGTATATCATCACTATATGTATTCAAATTCACTTTTTTATTATATTGATTTAAAGAAATATTATATAAAATATTATTTAAATTAGAATATTTATTTAAAATAGCAATATTATAGGGCAATAATTGGAATATAGGATAGTTAAAAGATATAGCAATAGCTATAGCTAAAGGTATACTATTACTAGTATTACTTTGTAATTCACTTATTCTAATATTTATTAACATTAAAATAAATAAAAACAATATAGATATAGCACCTATATAAACTATTAAATAAGATAAACCTATAAAACTTAAACCTAATATTATTAAATAACAAGAAATACTCGCAAATAAACCTATTAAAAATAATACTGAAACAATAGGATTTTTACTAATAATAACAAGTATACCACATAAAATTGCCAATAATGATATAATACCCAATATATCTGTTCTATAACCATTCGTATAGGTTTCGTATATAATAAATAAATTATTCATATTTATATTTAAGTTTGTTTGCCTTCGTAAAGGATAAATTACAAGAGTACTCAGACTCGAACTGAGGAATTGGAGGATGAAGCTCCCTATTTTACCATTAAACTATACTCTTAAAAAAGCATATTTTTCAGAAAAGAGGTGATTCGAACACCCATGTGTAATTGACACAATATTTAGCAAATATCTTACCCTACCTATAGCAACTTTTCCTTTATTTTCGAATTAGAACGGCCTCGAACCGATATCTACCCTCGTGACAGGAGGGTCCTTTACCAATTAAGCTACTAATTCTTAAATTTCAGCAGAGATTTCAAGATGAATCTATATTCTAAATTTATAATTATTTTTAAGCTGAAATGTTCATAATCTAAATGGATAATATTACGACCAGTCGGAATCGAACCGACACACTCTGTTTGGAAGACAGCAATCCTACCGTTAAATAATGGTCGCTTATATTTATTAAATTCTTAATACTTTTTATTAATAAAAAACTACTTAAGTTTATTTAGGATATACGAGAATCGAACTCACATAATGATGATTAAAAGTCATATGCATTACCGTTATGCTAATATCCCTTTAATCTCGTATATCTTTATTACGCCCCTAAGATGAATCGAACATCTATCATAATATTAACAGTATCAAGCTCTACCATTGAGCTATAGAGACTTATCCTTAGGAAGAAAAGGACTCGAACCTTCGACAGCAATATAGCTACTGAGTTTACAGCTCAGCCCGTCATACCTACAAACGGAACCTTCCTTTTTATTTTGTTAAAATTTATGAATCCCGTGCAACTTCCACTACACGAACCGTATTTCGACTTAACACTAATCAGAATCGCGCATACGAAGAATCCTACTATAACATCTAAACCCTATCATTTACTTACTTATAATAAAAGAGCAAACTTATTGCACCAACTCCTTTCAGCATGCGACGAGTAGTTAGTACCAATCCAAAGTATTATTCACCGTGACATGGTGATTCACGATTACTAGCAATTTCTTATTCATGCAGTTGAATTTTAGGCTACAATCCATTTCCATATTTTATCCTATTTTTTGAGATTAGCTTAAATTCGCATTTTTGCTTCTCTTTGTCTAGGAATATGTGGCACGTCTATAGCCCACAATATTAAGGCCATGATGACTTGTCTTATTCCCTTTTGTTCTGACCACTGTAGCGGGCCAGAAGATGCTCTATTAGTAAATTTATAAATAAAGCCGGGGTATTCGTTAATTCCACGGACGAATCTGCAGTTTCACAACATTAACTGAAAACAGCCGTGCAACGCTTGTATTATTAATTTATGTATTTTTCAATAAAAAGTTTTAACTAATTCATTGATATTAACAAATTAATAACATTCAAATTGTAGTAAGGTTTTTCGTGGATCATCGAATTAAATAA